TGGGCGGCGGTGCCGGCGCTGCCCGTGCTGCCAACCGCGCTCCGCTGCCTGGGAGAAAACGGGGAAAAACCCCAGCCCGGCAATCCGCTCTGCTGCCCTGGTCAGTTTTCTGTCTCAGCGAGGTGGTTGGCAGGCGGTGAAACTTACAGAAAATGTTGTTTACAAACAGCTAGAAGTAAGAAGTGGGTGGCCGCTTGAGCCTTCACTTTGATTTTTTTCATGAAACTGGGCTTAGTTCAGATTTTCCCGTATCTAGGTGACCTTTTGGTTGCAGGGATACCAGGTACCATTTGATTTTTTTTTTTTTTTTTTTTCTGTCGCTGCGAGACTGGTTTCATGCCTGATTGATCGGAGAGTTGTGCTGTGTTTGTTGATATGTTTGGGGGTGAAATACAGAACTCAGTGTCTAACTACTTCTTGGGGGAAGGAGTCTGGAGAACCTGCTGTGCTCATAATGCATCTCCCTTTTGCAAAATGTCAGATGTAGATGGTCTTGAGCTTTCATTGTGGCCTGTGGATGTTTTAGTCAACGGTCAAAATTGTTTAGTGAAAGTTAGTAAAAAGACATGTCTGTGCTGTAGGTGAGGAGTGGATAGTGTGGATAAACATGCTAGAGTTGTGATAAGTTCTGCTTAGAAGAACAAAAACAAACCCTAATGCTATCAGCAACCTGTGAGATGATGAATTCAGTTCTGGTATCCACTGAGGCGCTTGGAGGTGACAGAAACCAGCACTCTCAAAAAATCTGTTTGCTGCTGCATTCTTCCTAATTTATATCTGTCATTTCAAACCGAACTTATATCAGGCCACAAATAATCTCTGCAGTTTTGTGATCCTCTCAGATCTGTTTGCCAGCCTCTGGAAGTGCAGGGTCGGGGTGTTTTCTATTTTTTCCCCTTTTTTTTGTGACCCAGATTTTTATTCACTTTAGTTTTTAAAGTATGCTCACCTATTGATTAGGTATGAAGTCTGAATTGTACTGCCCTGGGAGAAGCTGCTACAAAGCTCAAGCACCCATGTAATATTAAGCCTGTAACTGAGATTTCCTGGTATGCAGTGGTTCTGCTGGTGTTTCTGAGGGTTAAAATTCACTTACATCCTAATTTTAAGCTTTAACTAAGTTTCCTGGTTTTCAGAAATGCGGGTCACTCACAGCTGCAATTGATTTCTCTAGGAATTAGGCTTGCTCAGCACTTAAATCAGGGGTTGGTGATTATCTGGGAGTGACTTTATGTGAAATTAGGCAGTTTTGTCTGAAAATTTTAGACTATAGGAATGTGATTTGATACACACAATGATGTGAGACACATGATTCTATGTTCTAATAAAATTTGTGCTTGAGGGGAATGTAGGCATAGGGCCACAGTTCTAAGTAAGGGGAAAGAACTGCTAAAACTAATTTATTTTAAGGCTTTTTTTGCATTGTTTTTATAATTTGGCTTAAAATAACGTTTTTAAGTAGTGTTAAGTAAAGAGATTAAACACTAAACTGGAGAATGAATACGTTCTGAAAGGAAAAAAAATTGTATCATATTGGTATTGTAACTGTTAGTACTTGAGTTTCTGCAGTTCTAATGAGACTGTGAGCCAGGTCCTTAAAAAATTAAAAGTTGTTACTTATATGTGATTTTTCAGAATTTTGGAGACTAGCTTGTGCATTTTGCTCCCTGCCTGAGAGAGTGGGATGGGAGGGGTTTTTTTAGGGTCCATTTTAGAACAGGGTTTACTTTTCTTTATATATTCCTCTTGCTGGCTGCCGTGGAAGTTTGCAGAATTATGGATCTGTCTAATAGCCATACATCCCTGCCTTCCTCTGTGGCAGAAATGTTTCCCATTCAACTTCTGCCCTACTTCTCTCCCTGCTTAGCCCAACCTTCATATCTCATCGTGTGGCTGTACAAGAAGTTTGTATAGCTGTGAAGGGGCAAGTCAGCTCCCAGGCCCTCAGAGGCTCTGCTCCTGAAGTATCCTATGTTATGCTGGATGATGAGCATGATGACAAGAAACCTCCCTAACATACCAACCTCCCTTGCTTTGCTGTCCCTGTGCCATGTCAAGGGGAGGTCCTTGAAGGAGCAGAGCCGTGATGAGCAGTTTCCGCAGGGTTGACGTCCTGCCTACCACCACCATGTCCTCCTTTCAGGATGGTTCCTCTCCTCCTTTGCTCACCCCTTCCCTTTTTTCCTCCTAGATCCCTTGGTGAGGGGCAGCCCACAGCACTGCTGGCACTGGGCATGAGTCTGCAGCTGGTGTGGGTGGGTGGTGGTTGTGCTGATGTTGCCGTTCATTTTGGGGCAGGGCTAGGAGCAATAATTTGGATGTTTCCTAACTGCTGAGCAGTTTTTTCTCTGAACCCATAGGGCTGTCATATCCATGAGACCTTTTCCCTTGCTTTGATTGAAATTGGACAAATGGTTGAGAGATGATGGATGGGGCAGGGAAATGGGACTGGCAGGCAGGCAGAGAGGAGGATAGACAGAGAGGGAGCGGATACGCCTCGTTTCCTTAGGAAATTAGGAAATTTCCTTAGGAAGTCACACTGTCCTGTCATTTATTAATTTGACTTTTTTTGTATATGTCTTTGCTAGTTATGGAAACAAAAGGATACCACAGCTACCCAGAAGGCTTAGATATGGAGAGACGGTGGGGTCAAGTTTCTCAGTCTGTGGAGTATTCTTCCATAGGTGCTGGAGAGCAGGCTGATGACAGTAACTACATGGAGATTGTAAACGTAAGCTGTGCCGCCAGCACTTTCGCCAACAGCAGTGCTCAAGGAAACAACAAAGAAAAACCTGAGCTACTCTCCTGCCTGCAGCAAGACAACGGTCAGCCTGGTCTTCTGCCCTCTGACATCAAAACCGAGACGGAGTCGAAGGAGCTGTCAGCAACGGTGGCCGAATCCATGGGTTTATATATGGATTCGATACGAGATGCCGATTACCACTACGATCAGCAAAACCAGGGCAGCCCGGGAAAGATCTACCAGAATGTGGAGCAGCTGGTGAAGCTGTACAAGGAGAATGGCCATTGCTCCTCTCCCCTCCACAGTGCCAGCAGGCCCTTGAGGTCTTTGATGTCTGACTCTGGGAGTGCTGTCAACGGTGGTGCCATGCACACAATTGTCAAAAGCCCCATCATGTGTCAAGAGAAGAGCCCTTCGGGCTGCAGCCCTCAGAACATGGCCTCCTCAGTCTGTAGTCCTGCAGGAGTTAACTCCGTGTCCTCAACTACTGCTAACTTTGGGAACTTTGCCATGCACAGCCCCATCAGCCAGGGGACCCCCCTGTCACGCTCGCCCAATGTTGAAAACAGGGGGTCAATGTTGCACAGTCCCGCACACGCTAGCAACGTCGGTTCTCCGCTTTCTAGCCCTATAAGTAGCATGAAGTCACCAATTTCTAGCCCTCCCAGTCACTGCAGCGTGAAATCTCCTGTTTCCAGTCCGAATAATATCACGATGCGCTCTTCTGTGTCCAGTCCTGCGAACCTCAACTCCAGGAGCTCCATTGCCAGCCCTTCCAATGCCAACAATAGGTCCACTCGTTCTAGTCCAGCGGTTAGCACTGTGGGGTCATCCATCTGTAGCCCCGTAAACAACTCCATAGGTTTCCCAGCTTCCGGCACGCCGGCGGGACCTAGCAGAAGCCAAGATACCGTTCCTAGTCCAGAAACAAAAGACAAGGGTGCTCAAGAACTCCCATTTCCCAAGATGGAGGAAATGGAGAACGCCATCTCCAACAACAGTCAGATGAACCTCGTTCAGTTCATAAAACCTGAGCCAGACGGGTCATTCGGCAGCGCCTGCATTGGCGACAGCAGCAGCAAAATAAACTCTGATTCCCCCTTTTCAGTACCAGTGAAGCAAGAGTCGGCGAAGCATCCTTGTTCTGGTGCCTCTTTCAAAGGGAATCAAACAGTAAATCCTTTCCCATTTACGGATGGCTCGTATTTTTCTTTTATGGATGACAAAGACTATTACTCTCTTTCTGGGATTTTAGGACCACCCGTTTCTTCGTTCGATGGAAATTGTGAAGGTAGCGGTTTTCCAAATCCAGGCCTACGTGTGGGAATTAAGCAGGAGCCTGATGATGGCAGCTATTACCAAGAAAACAGTATCCCATCCTCTGCCATTGTGGGTGTAAATTCAGGTGGACAGTCATTTCACTACAGGATCGGTGCCCAGGGCACGATATCCTTGTCGCGGCCGGTCGCTCGGGAGCAGACATTTCAGCACCTGAGCTCGTTCCCTGCTGTCAGCACGCTCGTGGAGACCTGGAAGTCACATTCAGAGTTGGCATCCAGAAGAAGTGATGGGTATCCAGTTCTAGAGTACATTCCAGAAAACGTTTCCAGGTGAGCAGGCACTTCTTTTTTTTATTTTCTCATTTTTTTCCCTACTTCCCTTGCATTCAAAAAACAAGGCATGAGTTAAAATGGGGACTAGGGTGGTATTTCTCATGCTGATGTGTAATTCTTTGCTTGATGTTCAATGACTATCATTAGATTTGCCGGTGTCTTGCTGTATTCTACTCTGCCTTTAATAAAAACAAAGTGCTGGTGTTAATATTTAAGAACATATTCTATTCTATTGTTATTAGGTTTGAAGGTATAGCTTTAGTATGTTTATGAGCTCTCACTACTACAAATGTTGTTTTTCCCATAATGAGTGCTTAGTAAAATTGCTCTCTTGTGTCCTATAATGGTTATTCTTTCTTAGCTAGTGCTCGAATGTGTTGTACCTCAGATGAAATGCTGAGATGAGGATAAGAAAACGATAGTGTCAGGAATCTGTTTATGTAAAGAAGTATGGTTATGTGTTTGCACTGGACTTTAACTGGTTAAGTTATAAAAACTAAACATTATGAGCCTGTGGCAACATATTATTTCTGTATTTTAACTGTAGGAACATTTGGTTTGTATATATAGAAAAATGCCTCCAGAAGGAGGAGGACTGCTAAAGCTTGATGTATTTGAAAGGGAGAAATGGGTAAACTGATCTCCTCACTTTTGGTGGAAGAGAAATAATGCAAGTGTCACTTGAATTTGGGTTTCTTGTCTGGTTTGTGGAAGCACATACTTTTTCAGCAAGCAGTTGTCTGTGTGTCTCATGAAAGACACTTCCATAAACCATCTAGTTTCATAGTCAATATTAGAAGTTATTAAGCACCTCTGATGACATGTCTGAGCATGGTTCACAGCCTCTTCATGTGTCAGACAGGCTCACCAGAGGTTTGTGTTAAAGCTCAAATAGTCAGTAACAGATTTGTATTGACCTTTCTCGAGTCTCTTTTTCTCATGATGAGAGACGCAGCTGTCCTCAGTGAATGAAGCATCTGCCTTATTCTTGGAGCAGGGTGAAGAGGATGTGTTGTGTTTTCCATGTTTGTGTGATACTAAATAATTCTGAAAATGCAGTGAAAAACATAATACCTAAAATAGTGGTGCTTTTGAGGAGGGATAACAGCCTATATACCTGTGAGGAAAAAAAAGATGTTAAGTTCTTCCATTTCATTCTCAGATCTGTCCAGCATCTCTCCAATCTCATTATCATTTTGCAAGCCACACTTTGCTTTTTCTTTGGCCATTTCCAGTGTGGTCTCTAAAGAAGGCACTTTTTAATATATCTCTCTCAGCTTGAAAGGGCTATATCCCACTATGATGCTGAACTTTGCATGTAGCTGGGTATTTGTTATCATCTAGGCTTGGCTTAAGTGCACTTTCTTGGTTCAAGGAAGATGGAGTTACTGTTTCCTAGTTATTTTACCTGATGAAATTTTCATAAATTGCATTATTTATGTGGCAAGAAAAGTTCACCAGAAGACTGATGGAATGCCTGAAAATAGACCCAATATTTTACAGCCTTTGTGGTTGAGCACTGTTGCTTGGGCAAGTAGCTCCTGCCAGCTGTGAGAGCTCTTGTGTGTCTAAATTCTTGCCCTGAGTTGAGGTTGTCCACTGCAGGGGCAGGCACAATAAACAGGGAAATGAAGGTAGGAGCTCGGTTGTCATCAATAGTTGTGTTTTGAGTGGGTTTCTCATAAGGCTTTGAAGGTCTCTCCTGATCTGACATTAGTCCATGGTAGCTCTGGACTAGTAAATGGATAATCTGCATCATCAGACTTGATGATGGCATAGGCCTGGTATACTTTCCTATCTTTTTTGTCTAAGCTGGTGTCTCAGTAGGATGTGCAGGTGAGTGCAGCTGTTACTTTGTGGAGTTGAAATCCTGAAATGTCTCGTGCTCAGAGCTGTTACGTGTGGAATTCTGTTTGGGTGATGGAGATCTGCAAGGTTGCTACACTTCAGACATCCTAATCTGTAGTTCAGATTACGACACGTGTCATCATTTCAAATGTCTTAACCCCATTATTTAGCTAAATGTTGCTCTTAATCTGCTTGGCAATGGCTTTATGCCACTAGGTGCAGCAGAGGACCTGTGCAAAGCCCTTACAGGTTTCAAGGTAAATTCATGCAGAGGTTGTTTTAGCAGTGCAGATTTGAATGCAGAGGTGTCTGCTCAGATATTTGTCTGCTGCTGAGACAAGTCATAAAGACTCAACGTAAGATGTCACACATGCAAAAGCTCAAACTGATTTTTTAATTTCTGTGCTGTGTCCCAGCTAAAACAGGGGAAATTATACTCATGTTAGTTGATGCTCTGAAGTGTTGTGGTAAAACACACGTAGATTAAAACCATATCAGACCCAACATCCCCAGGTGGGTTTCAGCTGTCCCAGGTCTGCATGGTATGGGAATTGCAAAGTATCTCTTCCTTCAGTTGGTTAGAGCAGCAGCATCACATTGTGCTCTAGATCCAAGCCAAATCCTTGTTACTTCCAGTCAGGTTTTTCTCCTGATATGTCAACCATATCAACCAGCATACATTTTGCAGCCTTCTATAGCATGTGATTAACTCTCCAAAATCTGAAGTATTTTAAACATTCTGGTATTCTGACTATATAAATTGCTGTAAGCAAAAAATATGGTGAAGAGAAAAAGTAGGATACGTGGTTGTCTAAAGCCGACAGGTGACCAGCATGGAATATATCTTGTTTTAGCAGCATTATTTTCTGAACCTTGACATCATACCTTTTCTGGACTGCTTCAGAGTTGCAGCTTGTGTGGGTGACCAAATGGAGATGACTTTTCTTTAGAAAATAGCTGTAAACCCCAATAACTTTTCCTATTGGATTCCTTTCTTGAATCAGTTATACTTGCTGTGAGTGTCTAACAACCATAGTTGAGGCATTTAAGATGCCTTGTTGACTGTGCACAGCACCCACTGTCAACTAGAACATTTCTCTTTTTCTCCTTCAGTTACTTTTATTAGATGAGTAGTTACGATTCTTTTTAAGTTAGTTGGTGGTAACTTTTTCTGTAACATTGCAACTTGTGATGTTTGGGGAGCAAGAGCCTCTTAAGCAAAACCAAGTTCCCTTATTCCCTTTAAAAATAGTTTTCTTCTGCTAATATCAATGCAGAGCATGTCTTTGTTTTTGAAAGATTTTTACATGTTTAATTTTTAATAAAGGGTGAATCATACTTGTCTGTCTGTGTGTATAGAGATTCCCCCCTCCATGAATGACATTTCTAAGAAATAATGGTATCTAAGCTAAACAATAGCAAAGTGGGCTTGAAAAAGAAGCTGTGTGATGTCATTGATGAAAACCTTCCCTAAGAATCCAGATGAGATTTCGCTTTAGGGTGATTATTGTTCGTCTGAATTGGGGTACTAGCCTAAGCCTTGTGATTGTGCCAATTATGTGCTTCTCAGAGTGGCCTAGGAAAATGTCATGGTTGCTTGAAACAACAGTAAAAATTGAGGAGGATGACCTTTCTGCTGTATTAGTTCTTACCTAAAGCTGCTTTTGCAAGTGTGCCTTTTCCCTCTAATTTCAATATTAACTCATGTATGTGCACATAGATCCTCACTCTTCTCAGTGGTTGTGGTGGAAACAGAGGGTTGATACTCCTACTGCTGTTTCTTCCTGGCAATTCCACTGGTGTAATCCAGTGTGGGAAGAATTCACAAAGTTTGCTGTGTTGTTATTCAGAAAGTTGAGTGTTTTAGCATAAGTTGCATGTGTTTATCAATAAGTGTGTTTCAGTTGTTTCCATTCAGATGAGGAGATTTCAAAAAAGTGTTTCATCATATTGCAGAGTCTACTTTGTCTATGAGAAGGAACTGAAAGACTATCATTGACTCCTTGGGGTTTATGGTTAAATTTTTTGATCAAATATTGACAATATTTTAAGGACTTCTCATATCCATCTGTTCCTGAGTCATTCACATGGATTAGTATTTTTTTTCATAGATCCTACTTGAAACATTCCCCCAAAAAACTCCACCCCAGCAGCCTAACCCCAAAAAGCAACCCACCAACATGGTCTTCATTTATCTGTAACCTTTACTGACTTGAGTGGGTGATTCTGGTTAAAATCTGATTTCAGGCTATTGCAAGTATTTTTGTAAATAAACTTTTATGTTAAATATTATCTAGAATAGTCACTTATCAGAATTATACCTGCCAGAAAGATAAAGGTCTGGTAAATATTATTTTTAGAATTTATGAATGGCCTTGACCTCTGTTTGTTTGCTGGTGGACTTTATGAGAAAAGGACCGTGCTGTTAAAATATTCTCCATGCTTGGCATGGCTGTTTTTCCCTTTAGCTTCCCACAAATTTACTGTGCAAACTTCTTTTTTTTTAACCCAAACAATTCTTTAATGTCATAGTTCATAGCCTTAAATCCGTATCTTTCCTTGATTTCAATTTGAGAAAGTACACTTGTTTGTATAGGTTCTTGGATGATTTTGTGGGATTTTTAATGGCTCTGGGTATAATCTTGACTCAAGAGAAACTTCTGCCTATTTTTTCTTTCTCACCAAAGAAGTTAGGAGTCTGTATTAATATGTCAGGGCAGGAGGTCAAAAGGTTCTCCTTAGCATTTCAGCATGGTTTGAACAGCCTCGTACATTCCATAGACTTCTTTGTTGTTATTTTGGTGAGGGTGCTGGTTTTTCATACAGTTTTTTATTGAGGACTTGAAAATCTGTATAAAGTATTTTCCCTTAAAATGTGACTGCTAATGATGCCTCATTTTCCCTTAAAATCATATGCATAATTGACTTCTGTGCTGTGGTGGGGAGAAGTCCATGTTACTGGAAAATTGTGTTCCATAAATGAGTGGATCTTCCAAATCCGGGGAAATCAGAGCTCTGTTGTCAGTCCTTGTGCCAGTATCTAGGGCTTGGTTATTTCTTTGTGTGTGGGTAAGTAATGTTGTGTATTGCCAAAACATTTCTCTAGCTGGTTGATACTGCTGAGCTTTGCAATACTTGGCTGTTGGAAA